TTTTTCTTTTTTTTTCATTCGCATTCTAAGGTTTAGTGAAAAAAAAAAAAGGCTCCCGGGCAAAAAGGGCGTTATTATGAAGAAAAAGGAAGCCTTCAAGTATCAGGATATTGTGATGTTGATTGGGCAGGTTCTCCTAATTGATTAGACGATCTACTACTGGATATTGTGTTTTCTTTGGAGGAAACATTATTCTCATGGAAAAAGTACGAAACAAAATGTAGTGACTTGATCAACAGCTGAAGCTGAATATAGGGCAATGGCTTCATTAACATGTGAAACCTGTATTTATGGGTGAAGCAGTTTCCTCAAGGGGAAGCCAGCTTAACTTCTGGTTAAACATCCAGGGAGTATGGAAAGATGTATTGTGGATAACCAGCTGCTCTTCACATTGCACCAAAATCCAGTGTTTCACGATTGAGGAACCAAACAAAAAAACATATAGGAAATTGATATTGCATTTGTTCGGGAAAAAATATTGTCAAAAGAAATATGTAAACTGAGTTTGTTCGAATCAATGACCAAACTCGCAGATGTGTTGACTAAGTCGTTTAGGGGACCTCAGATTGGATGGTTTATTGTTCCAAAGCTTGGTACATACAATTCTGTATGTTCCAGCTTGAGGGGGGGAAGTGTTTTAGAATATTAATTAAGTCAACATATGATTAAGTATAGCAGGGCCTCCTAAAGTAGGTAGTTATGTGTGGGGGTACTATAATGATTGTTTTCCTAGCAGTCTAGGACAATCTCTTCATCTTCCATCTATGTATTGTATCAGATATTTTTATCTATATAAATGATAGAACTGAGAAGGGTCTTTCAAGCCCTTTAGAACTATTTTTCTCTGTTTTAGATCTCAAGTAGCTTCAATTACCAGACACAGCCAGGATACATCCTATATTCCATGTGTCTCAACTAAAAAAGGCAGTGGGCACGAAGAGTGTGGAGAAGGAATTGCCATCAGACCTACAGGTAGATGGGCCAACATTCTGGCCCATTAGAATTCTGGATACGAGACAGACACATCAAGGAGAGGAAATGGTGCAACAGATATTGATTGAATGGCAGGAAAGAGGTAGAGATGGAGCGACTCGGGAAGATGCCCTAACTATCAAAGACCAATATCCAGACTTCAACCTTGAGGACAATGTTGATCATCAGGCGGTGGGTAATGTTAGGGAGTGGAGAGTTTATGAGAGGACAAGGAAGAGATAATGTCCTAATTGTTTTAGCAGTCAGGAGAGGCAGGCAGGAAGTTAGGTGGAGAGTTTATGAGAGGAGAGGCAGGAAGTTAGGTGGAGAGTTTATGAGAGGAGAGGCGGGAAGTTAGGACTTGTATAAATAGAGTTTGGTACATTGTTTTGGGTAGCTTTTGGAATATTAGTTTGTATAGACAGGAAAATTTGTCCTGTGGAGGGGGATTAGGCTCCTGTATATTGATTGTACATGAACTTTGTTGAATTGAAATACAGAAACTCATTCTTTTACAGTTTGAGTTCTTGTTTGTGAGTGTGTTAGTGGTTTCATACCCAAAAACCTATCAAAGTAGGTATTACTTTTTTCTTGCCTCAAATAATTCTTAAATCTTAGTCATTGTTAAGCATCGTTGACATCTGCATTTATTTATTCTGGGCAATTTGTAAAGGAAATGTTTTATCCTCCAATTTGTATCTTCTCTTTGTTTTTCCTTCCTTCTTTTCTTTTGTTGTTTTTCGACATTCATCATTATTTTGTTTGTAAAGGAGAATCAATTATGTTGTTTACAAAAAAGTCTTCATTTTAATGATCTATAGGGAAAGCAATGAAAGGTCAGTCCCAAAAGGTTCAACAGGCTGTGCTAACGGTATGTATTCTCTTTAGTATAATATTCACTCTCCTTCGATGCACTTACATGGTTGATCAATAGAAATTTCGGTCTGGCACCTATAATGTCATTGTTGCCACATCAATTGGTGAAGAAGGTCTTGACATCATGGAAGTTGATCTTGTCATATCTTTTGATGCTAATATTTCACCACTTAGAATGATTCAGCGAATGGGGAGAACCGGAAGAAAGCATGATGGACGAGTTGATATCCTTTGATTTTCAGTTTATTTATTTCTTGGTGATTGTTACTTCTGAGAAAGAAATGAACATTATTGGCATTTCCTATTATACGCTTTCTGAAATGCTACAAGTTTTTCGTTGGTTCCTTAACAATTGTTACTAGTTTTTGCTTGTGAAGGGACAGAGTTGAAGGGCTACTTGCAAAAACAGGCAAAGAGCAAAACTATAACTAAACACATGCGCAATGGGGGCATAAATAGTTTTTCCTTTCATCCTAGTCCAAGGATGGTCAGAAACTGATAGAAAACTTCTTTTCTTTTTTATCTGTGCTTTTTATCCTTATCAATGTTGCTAAATATTTTTGTAGATTCCTCATGTCTTCAAACCGGAAGTTCAATATGTTGAACTGTCTATTGAGAAATTTATTCCCCGTCAAAAGAATGTGAAGGATGACGAGCTCCACATTTCTCCATCGAAGAACAAACTTAATGTGGCTGAAATTGATTTACTTGAAACGTATTTTCACTCTACTAGGGAAAAGAATAGTAGAATCTCCCTTATTTCCTTTCCCCACTTTCAGACCTTTCCTTCTAGAGTGCATAAAGTTAAACATTCATCTGGAACATTGATGTTTATAGACATGATGCAGCGTATGCAAGGACTAGCATCATTTCCAAAAGATGACGAAACTTCTTCACTTCAGGTTCTACTTCTGCTCTGAGATCAGTACCACACTGTATGAAATATGATCATAGTCATACTGTGAACGTTATTTCTTTTTTGGTTAAATAATGTCTATTTGAGTTGTTCAGGAAGATCTGTGCTTGGGACATAGGAAGCCAGTCACCCCTACCAAACTTGATAAAGGTAATATGGATAATATCATCTGTTCAATTTTCTCTCCTAGTTTCTAATGCCAGACAATAGCCATTGATATTGTCAACATTGCAGATGAAAAGAGTTGTATTTTACTTTTTATCTTTTACTTTTCAGAATTATTTACTTTTTGGTGGGTATTACTTGAAAGGAATAATCTGAAAGAAAGAAGATTTTTATTCAATCAATTGATTTGAAACAAACATAAGTCTCTATATAGAGAGAACTCTAATCCTAAAGTAATAATTACAAAGAGATCTCTAGAATCTTCTAACAGCTTCGAGTAGTACACTTAATATCTTCCTAACAACATTTTCTCCCAAGTTGGTGAATGGATATATCATTCCCAGCTCGCTTGTAAGATTATGAAAATTTTCAGTGGAAAGACCTTTTGTGAACAAATATGCTAATTGAAGCTCAGATGGGACATAAGAAGCAGCGATAAGACTACCATCCAGTTTTTCTTTAATAAAGTGTTGATCTATCTTTTTGTGTATGCTAAACTAGATTGTGGGCAATGATGATGTTAAACTGGAGTTGCCACAGGTTATTTATATTGCCACGTTGTCACCCTATAAACATTAACAAAAATGAGGACTATATTGGGACGGAGAAAATTGAGGGGCTGTTAGGTTCCTAGATAGAGAAACCCAAAAACACCACTGCAAAACACCCAAACTCACCTAAAAGATCTTGTATTATTGATTCTAGGCACCAAGAACAGCAAGAGTGCCTCCAAGGGACAATGTTCCCTTCACACAGGATGCCAAAGATCCTGTCAACATTTAGGTCTGGAGGCTTGGGTGATGGTCGATATGACTCCTTTGGTTCCATTAATGATAAGAACTGCTTCAAACCAAAAGATCTGGAAAACAAGTGACTTCTTGCACGGCTCAAAAATTCTACAGCATATCTTCGTGACAACTTCTGTTTTCTCATTTCTACTTCTAGATCTTCCAGAATTACTGGACCATCCCCATAAAGCACAAATTTTGCAGTACGCTCTGAAACTGTTTGCACTGCTTCCATTACTGAAGTTTCTTTCCTACCATCTTTACTTTCCTCCATTGTGAGTAATTCAAGATGGCTAGTTAATAACTACTCTCCAAGAAAACCGCAAATTCCTTTGTGGTCATTGCTAGAAGCAAGATCTGCAAGTGTTATGAGAAATAGAGAAGATTGGGAGAGAATATCCCTTGTGTGTGTTGCATACACATAGGGTAATTTATTTATATTGTAAGATATGGGCCAATGCCCTTAATACATAATAGACTAAGCCCAAATAACAGAAACACACATCATAACATCTAACAGTGGTCATTGCTAGAAGCAAGATCTGCAAGTGTTATAACATCAGGAAATTCAGGATATGGATCTGTAACTGTTATAGTGGATGCACCCATGGACACCAGGACCTCAACTGGGTAGCACCCTGCCCCCACTGTTTTAACCCCAGGCCTCAACAATTCTTCATCCTCCGCATTTGGTTTACTACTTTGTAGATATCTTGCTTCCTTCTCTTCATCATTAGCCAAGTACTCTCCTTCTTCAGAGAATTTCTTGCCTTGTTGTTTTGCAGACTATCTTTGTTAGGGATGGAGAGTTTACGAGTGAAGGAATAAAACATCAAATGCCCAACTGCCTTAGCAGTTAGGAAGAGCGGGGTTATTGGTTGTATAAATAGCAAATAATCAATTGTAGTGGGGGGTCGATTGTTTGATTGTAGTCTAACAGGGTTTTGTCAATCGCCGGAATAGGGAGGTTCGCTCTCTAGAAGGAAGGTTAGGCCCCAAACCCATTCCTTGTAAAGAGATTCGTTTACGGTGAATAATAGTGTTAGATGTAAGTTGTTGTTTTCGTTAATTGGGCTTAGCCCATTCTTGTATTTAGGATTTAACCCTTATTACATTAATAACTAAACTACCTATGTGTATGCAAAACACATAGGGAGATTTCTCCTAATCTTCTTCACTATATTCAATATGTATCTAGAGCACAGGAATAGTTCCAGTAACTCCACGATCTCCGACACTCATCACTGTCGCTGTCGTTGCAGTCGCCGCCGCCGCCGCCGCCGTCGTCGCCGGAGTTCCAGAATTGATCGGCGACCACACCATCGGAATCGTCTTGACCGGGCAACCACCGTGGTACGAAGATCGCGGCAAACGGACCACCCACGCGCCGCCGCTAGAGTCATTGCTGTCGCCTCTGCCGTCGCACGTGCCGGCGCGTCGCCGGAGATTTCCGCCACCGATCAGCACCGTCGTGATCGCCTCTTCGCCCTCTTTCTGGATCTGTGGCGTTGCATCAATCGGAGCACTTTGAATTTTTATTACGGTTTCTTCTTTCTCCCTCTCCATGGCTGCCCAACTTGATGATCGGAGTCGGTCTTGCCAACCAGGTAAAGGACGTCCAAAATGTGACCACTGTGGCAAGCTAGGCCACAAAATTGATAGATGTTATGCACTTCATGGACTCCTCCCGACCTAATCGCAATGCTAATTCTGATCCCCTCCTCGATCAACCGTCTGCAGACCTCCTACGTCACAAATCCCAGAAATAACCCTTACGCTTTTCAGGAATTTCTTCTCAGATGGTATGAGGACCGTCATACTCTAGTTCCACTACATCTGCTCTGTTATACGCACAGTCCTCCTTTTTGTCGATCCTGACTCACTCTCCATCTCTCAGGATCTTGGTCCTTGACTCAGTGCACTGATCATATCACGGGTAACAAGTCCTTGTTTTCTTCTTGTCAGGTCCGGTTAATTTACCCTCGGTAACGATGGCTGATGGGTCTAAGTCTCATCTCATGGTAGTGGTAACTGTTTTCATATTTTTTCCGTTCATATGCCATTGTAATGTACTTTATGGGTCCCTTGGTCTCCTTTTAAACTTATTGTTTCGTAATCGGTTGACTCTTTCCCTTAGTGTTTATTCTTTCATTTACCAAAGATTTCTGTTTGTTCAGACCGTAGTTCGAAACACATGATTGGCACATGATGTGAGTCTCATGGCCTTATCATCTCAGCCCTTTCCCACATGCTGGCGTAATCATGGAGTCCCATCCCTTCTTTCATGCTCAGTTAGGTTCAACTCCCAGTCTTGCCAACTTCAGCAACTTGTTCCAGTCGTCCAAATTATCAAGTTTGTCGTGTGAGTCCTTTGTCGTTAGGTAAACAAACTCGTAGTTCCTTTCCTTTTCCTCGAGTGGTTTCACAACGAGCGTCACTCTCTCCCTTTCATTGGTTCATTTGATACTTTTGGGACCTAGTCGTGTTAATTCACTTTTATGATTCAGTATTTTGTTTACCTTTTATTGATGACTAATTCCGATTTACTTGGTTTGTTTCTTCTCATGAAGAAGCGTTCTGAGTTGTTTTCTTTCTATTTTTCAACTTTTTTTCAATGAAATAAAACTCAGTTTGGGGTTCTATTATCGCACTTTACTAGTGATAATAATGGCCGTGAATACTTTCTCAACAGTTTAAACATTTTATGGCTTCTCATGGCATTCTTCAAACAAAACCCCCTGGTGCTTAACCCCTCAACAAAATGGGATGCTGAGCGCAAGAAGACACCTTTTTGAAACAAACTTGTAACTTCTCATTCATGGTCAAGTACCCTCACGTTTTTGGGGTGACGTTGTTCTCACAGCATGTTATCTTATCAACCGCATGCCATCTTCCGTCCTAGCGAACAAAATCCCTCATTCTATATTATTTCCTCAAGACCCTCTACATCCATTACCTCTTGAGTTTTTGGTTCTACAATTTTTTGTTCATGATTGTTTAGAGGTCCTGGTCCGTGATAAGTTCTCTAGGTCCTACAAATGTGTCTTCTTTTTCTTAGGATTCCATTCCACCACGGTCACAAAAGGGCTATAAGTTTTTTCCCTTCCCTCAATCGGCATTTTTATCTCTGGCTGATATCACTTTTGATGAATCTTCTTTTTACTTAACACTCTATCTTCTAGTTTTTTTAACCTTTCCTTCCGGTACCTTTCCCCGTTACTGTTGATATTCCTCTATCTGTGATCCGCCTGGTGATGCTCCACCCATTGTCCCTCCTTCTTTAAGACTCTCATTCACCACAGGATCTTCCTTCCACCACCACCCCTTCAGGTTTATAGTCGCTGCAAATGAGTCTGACTTGCCCATTGCCCTCCGTAAAGGTATACGCTCTACCCGTAACCATTCCCCCCATTATACTGTTCTTAGTTACCACATATTATCTCTATCTTTTTACACTTGTCTGTCATCCAATTCTTCTGTGTCAATTCCTAAATGTGTGGGTGATGCCTTAATCTCATCCTGGCTGGCTCAAGCTATGCTGGATGACCTAAGTGCTTTACGAAAAGTGGAACTTGGAGCTTGTCCAATTACCATTGGAAAGTCTGTTGTTGGTTCAGTGGGTGTTAATGCTATCAAGGTTGGCCCGATGCACATGGATCGTCTGAAACTGGCTTGTTTCCCAAAGCTACACCAGATTTTTGGTTTTGGATTATGGTGAACTTTTTCTCCAGTGGCAAAATTGACCTCTGTATCGCCTATTCATTGATGGCCGCTCTTCGCAATGCCGGCCTCTTTACCAACTTGATGTCAAAATCTTCCTAAAAAATGGGTGATTTGCATGAAGAAATTTATATGGAGCAACCGCCTGACTTTGGTTGCTCAGCAGGGGTAGGTCATCTGATTGGTATGTCGTCGTCGCAAATCCTTATATGGCCTAAAACATATCCCGGGCCTGGTTTGGTAAATTCAGTTGTGTTGTTCACAATTTGGTATGTCTCCGCAGTTGAAGTGGATCATTCAGTGTTCACAAAGAAAACAAAACAAATCGCCACTCAAGTGGCTGGATATATATTTACTATTATAGTGGTATGTTGATGATATTATTCTCACAGGAAGTGACTATCTCGGCATCTCTCAGATGAAACAACAACCGTTGTCTAAGTTTCAAACCAAAGAATCTTGGAAACTCCTACGTTT